TAAAATGACTATTCTCCCAAGACTTCTCTATTGTATGCACACTTTACCAATCAAAATACCAGGGTCTTTTTTCAACCAGCTGCAACAGGCGCAAAGGAAATATGTTTGGGCTAAGAAGAAACCCAGCATCCTGATGACCAGGTCTAAAATGGTAGGAAGTATGGGACTACCAGATTTTAAATTATATTACTTTGCCACTCACTTGGCCAGAATAATAGACTGGCATTGTCACAGGGAAGATAAAGACTGGGTTGAAAATTCTTCCATTCCAATCCCAGTGATGTTTTTTGCCATGGATAAATAAGAAACTATATTCTAAACAAATCAAACAACATCCCACTATTGGCCCCACCCTGGAGATATTTCATAATACCTCTTTTTCAAAAGAATTAGCTAACATTCTGGCCCTTTAACACCCATAGTTGATAATCCCAAATTTCCTCTAGGTCAACATTTCAAGGTGCCATTAATTACGGAGAAAGTATTGTCACTTCTAGCTACCCATTGTTTATCAACAAATGGGATGATTTCCGGGAAAAAACTAAGTGATATCTGTGATGGAAGGATACTCCCACAATGGTCTTACCTACAGTTACGAGATTTTATCTTTAATAATAAACATAAGCTTTCTTTTCTAAAACCTCCTTGAATCCATATGTCTTAAGGGTGGTAATATTAAAAAAAAAAAATACTCTCTCTCGCTTACTCATAGCTGCAAAACAAAGTAAATGAACAAAAAGACAATTTTAGGTGTCTCTGGGAGAATTCCCTCGAAACTAACTTTTCTGATCAGCAATGGAAAAATACCTGTATACTTGCACATAGGTGTTTTCTTAGCACAAGACTCCTCTTATATGATTCATACTCACTGATATGCCACTCCCACCAAATTACTTAAATGGTATCCCAACACATCTGACATTTGTTGGAGATGCCAGACTGGCAGACGGCATATTGGAATCAAGTATGTGAGCTAATTATTAAGATTACAGATACCAAAATAACATTATATGCCACATGCTGCTTATTGCATATCTCCCCTCTCTCACTCAATAAAAACAAGAATTCCCTAACAAAACATTTACTTACCCACATCTTCAACCTTTCACTCTCCATGGGCACCTTTCCCTCCCCACTCAAACATGCACTGGTTACCCCCATTCTCAAAAAAAACCCTCGCTGGACCCCACCTGTTTGAACAACTTAAGACCCATCTCCCTGCTCCCGTTTGCCTCCAAGCTTCTCGAGTGCCTTGTTCACAACCATATGAACTGCTACCTCACCGACAACAACCTTCTTGATCCCCAACAGTCTGGCTTCCGCCAACAACATTCCACAGAAACTGCCCCACTAAAACTCACTAATGACCTACTAACTGCTAAAACCATAGGCCATTACTCCATACTCATACTCCTTGACCTTTCCGCTGCCTTTGACACAGTCGACCACCTGCTCCTCCTCAGTAAACTCCACTCTATCGGCCTCCGTGACTCTGCTCTCTCCTGGTTCTCCTCTTACCTTTCTCAGCGCACTTTCAGTGTCAGATACAACTCCTCCTCCTCCGCTCCTCTTCTCCTTTCTGTTGGGGTACCTCAAGGTTCTGTTCTTGGGCCCCTCCTTTTCTCTCTCTATACCTCCTTCCTGGGCCAACTGATAACCTCCCATGGCTTCCAATACCACCTCTATGCTGATGACACCCAGATCTATCTCTCCACTCCCCAGATCACCCCCTCAATCTCCTCAAGTATCACAAATCTACTGAGCGACAAATCTGCATGAATGTCACTTCACTACCTCAAACTCAATCTTTCAAAAACTGAGCTTATAATATTTCCTCCTCCCCGATCCCCAACTCACGACTTTACCATTAAGATCAACAGAATAACCATTGGTCCTTCTCCTCATGCCAGTGTGCTAGGCGTAATCCTAGACTCTGACCTCTCCTTTGGGCACCACATCCACTCACTGGCTAAATCCTGCTGCCTCAACCTCCGGAACATTTCCAAAATCCGCTCCTTCCTGACCAATGACACCACAAAACAACTCATCCAGACCTTGGTTATATCCTGCCTCGATTACTACAACTCCCTCCTCACTGGTCTACCATTACACAGGCTATCCCCCCTTCAGTCTATTATGAATGCTGCTGCTAACTCATACACCTTACCAACCGATCAGCGACTGCTGCCCCTGTCTGCCAATCCCTTCACTGGCTTCCACTAACCCAACGTATAAAATTCAAAATACTAACCACAGCTTACAAAGCCATCCACAACACTGCCCCTAGCTACATCACCAACCTCATCCACAGATATCGGCCAAATCGCCCACTCCGCTCCTCCCAAGATATCTTCCTCTCTAGCTCCCTCATCACCTCCTCCCATGCTCACCTCCAGGACTTCTCCAGAGCCTCTCCCATCCTCTGGAACTCCCTAACACAGCATGTCCGGTCAGCCCCCACCCTGTCTGCCTTTACGCGATCTTTGAAAACTCACTTCTTCAGGGAAGCCTACCCCACCTCCACCTAAGAACTGTACTTGAATCACCTCAACTAGATCATCCCCCGCAACTATCACCTTTTGTATCATCTCCCCCTTCCTTTAGATTGTAAGCTCCATGAGCAGGGCCCTCACATTCCTTCTGTACTGAAATGTATTGTAATTGAACTTTCTCCCTTATATTGTAAAGCTCTGCGCAAACTGTTGGCGCTATATAAATCCTGTATAATAATAATACTTAACGTGGTTAAATCCTTGATTCCCAAATTCTGGAAAGCAACTCAGATTCCCACAATTTGGGACTGGCTGCGAGAAGTGGATAATATTCACCATATGGAGGCATCACAAAACCTGGCGTACTTGGTTTGCATTCACTTACTCCGATTTATATTAAAATATCTTGGGTTCATAAGCGACCAATATACTGATACTCTAATTCTTTCACTCTCTCTGACTACTATTTAAATGTATTGATTTTCAAGAATTGATACCAATTTTATAAGAGTTTGCTGCATCATGTCTTATTTGAGCTGTTTCATCACATTTTGTTAATCTGTTTCATTTAGTTCTGAAACATCTATACACTGTTAAACCAGCAAAAAATATAATGTTATGTATGGACATGTTTATTTCTGATATTCTTTGTACAAAAACAAAAAAAAACGTATATTGTTAGAAAAAAATAAATTAAAAAATCAAATTTCTTCATAAATTTAGGGCAAAATGTATTCTGCTACGTCTTTGCTAAAATAAAATCCCAATACATGTAAATTAATTGGTTTACGTGAAAGTTATAGCATTTAAAAATGGCGGGTATATATACTGGAATTTAAAAAAACTAACTTGGTGTCACTGACATCCCCAGTGACACCAATACAGTGATCATAGCTAATAAAAAGAACTGACACTGTACTAATTGCACTGTGCAGGAAGGGGTTAACATCTGGGGCGATCAAAGGGTTAGGAAATGCAAAATCACGTATGTATATGTGATTTTCCCACCCCTGCCACCCTGTATTAAATTTTTTCTTCATGTGAATTAGAAAACATGGCCTTTACCCTGTAATGCAACAAAATTATGAAATGTTTTGTACATTAGTTATGCTGTGTATATTTCCTCAGCACTATATTTAAAGTCCCTTCTTTGTTCTGGTGGTAAAATGTTTCTATACATCTGGAATTAAAGCGCTTGGGGATCTTAAGTAGTTTACCTCATCCTAAACTAATACATATGGATTTTGAGTAAGGCAATCAAAGTGCTCATCAGGAATTGACTTGAATGGTATCCTAAGATCAGTGATATACACTCACCGGCCACTTTCTTAGGTACACCTGTTCCATTGCTTGGTAACACAAATTGCTAATCAGCCAACCACATGGCAGCAACTCAATGCATTTAGACATGGTGAAGACGGCTTTCTAAAGTTCAAACCGAGCATCACAATGGGGAAGAAAGGGGATTTAAGTGACTTTGAAAGTGGCATGGTTGTTGGTGTCACAATGGTCTGAAAAAGAGAAAATATTTAGTGAGCGGCAGTTGTGTGGATGAAAATGCCTTGTTGATGTCAGAGGTCAGAGGAGAGTGGGCAGACTGGTTGCTACGACATTCGGATGGTAGGGTCAGAATTTGGCATAAACAGCATGAAAGTATGGATCCATCCTGCCTTGTGTCAACAGTTCAGGCTGGTGGTGGTGATGTAATGGTGTGGGTGATATTTTCTTGGCACTAGCAAGGTGTACCTAAAAAGTGGCCAGTGAGTGTATTTTCGCCATAGTTCCTGGCTCCAATTCCATTTGTCGATGAAATATAGGTGCTTCCATCCACCATGTGATATTTCCCCCTCTTTTTGTTGCTTTTGCAATAATATTGTTTAACCACTTGCCCTCCTGAGGATTTACCCCCCTTCCTGACCAGGCCATTTTTTTTGCATTACAGCACTGTATTACTTTAACTGACCATTGCACAGTCATGCAACACTGCACCCAAAATTGAGCTTTTGATCGGTGGTATTTGATCACCTGTGCGGTTTTCATTTTCTGCGCTATAAAAAAAAGACCGCCAATTTTGAGAAAAAAATATATATTTTTCACTTTTTGCTATTAAACATGTCCAGTAAAAAAAAATGTCATCATGAATTTAGGCTAAAATGTATTCTGCTACATGCCTTTGCTGAAAAAAATACTAATACGTGTAAATTAATTGGTTTATGTGAAAGTTACAGAGTTTATAAATGGCGGTATAGATAATGGAAATTTTTGTTTACTAGTAATGGCGGTGATCAGCGACTTATAGCGGGTCTGCGGGACTGCGGCGGGCATTCTGACACTGGGGGGAACTGACTTGGTGTCACTGACATTCCCAGTGACACCAATACAGTGATAAATGATAAAAAAAAGCACTGGGACCAGGTGATTGACAGTGCTGGTAGGGCGCGCATAGGCCTCGTGCGTGCCCCTTACCTGGATATGCAAAATCACGTATATATACGTGATTTTGCGCACCCATGCTGCCCTGTAGCAGTATGTCTGCTATAGGGTGGTCGGGAAGCGGTTAAATAAAATGTCCACAACTGGGAGGGAGATCTCCCTTGTAATGATATGGCAGGTATATAGACATGGGAATTCAAATGCAGAGATTTTACCAGTGGAGTTTTGGAGAAATGAAGAAATCATTTAGGGGACTAGAACAAGTCTATTATTTGTTTTCCTTTAGAATCTGAAGATAAGTGTGTTTTCCCTGTCCAGGCTGTCTTATTAGCCTGTCTTCCCCTGTGTTTCATCTGTGGTCTGTTTGTGGCTTTTTTTTTCCAAAAAAAGTTTTTATTTTGAAATAAGAAAGGCATAACAAGTCATATACGGATACGGAACACAGTCCGTGCATAAACATCTGTCTTAATCTCCCGTAGCGCAGACGGGTCATAAATTGTTTATTTGAAGTATAAATTACCCTGATACAAAAGATCACATTATAGTAGATGAATGAACTAGACCAATAACAGTGCTGATTATGATAGGTAGTCTGGAGAATTATAGTGGATGCTGCTCTTATGAGTAGGGATTACTCAAATAATGGGACTATGAAGCGTAGTACAATGTGTCCTCTGAAGGCGTACAGTTCTTCTGTGTCCGTAGCCGGGGAATATAGGGTTCTTATTGTGAAAAGACAATCATACCTATATATGAAAGGGCACTCTGTCCCTCATAGAAGATGTAGTTACTTGTAGAAGAAAAAGGTGTGAAGAAAAGTAGGAAAGGAAAGGAGAAAGGAAAAGAAGAGAGAAAGACACATCAGGTGAAAAGAGGTGGGAAGAGTAACATTATAGAAGGAAGGGGATAAAAAAAAAAAAAAGGGGGGGGGGGGGGGGAAGGGGTGGAGCGGATCAAATAATGAATAGTGGCTGTCAACCAATCATATCATGGAGCATTATTTATGGTAACTTAGATTATACCTTTATGTAAGATATAGTCTGGGTAGACACAGTCTGTGGAGCAATTCTAGAGGTGAGAACTCAAAAGGTTTTTTGTGTTTTGGATCTCGTCTCATTCATTCATATAAAGACGATAAATACTGGTGGTTTGAAAATGTTTCCAGCACGCCCAAGTCTTCCTGAATCTCTCGGGGTGTTCTTTTGCCACTGAAATCAGCTCCTCCATCTCCGCAATCCTGATGACCCTAAGAAACCACTCCCGCACAGTGGGAACCTGTTTTGATCGCCAGTGAACAGGGATACATTGTTTTGCCGCGTTTATCATGTGTAAGGCAAGAGACTTACGATAAGTCCGAAAAGGAAGTGAGGAGTGGTGGAGTAAAAATTGTGCAGGGGTGAAGTCTAGATTATGCGTGGTTACTTGTGAAACTAAGTCTCACACTTTTCTCCAAAAGGGCAGCAGCAGTGGACAGTCCCACCATATATGTAGGAGTGTACCCTTTGCCCGTTGACATCTCCAGCACAAATCCGAAACATCAGGATCAAATCTATGAAGCAAGGATGGAACTCTGTACCATCTAGAATATAATTTATAGTTGTTTTCTTGTGTAGAGACACATATGGAACCTGTATGCATATGATCATAGATGTGATCCCAATCTTCCGGTGACAATGGCAGTTGTAGGTGGAGCGACCAAGCCTCACATGCCTTTCGAGGTTGAGACATATTGGCGGTATCTTATCCAGATAGGAATAGAGCTTGGATATAACATGTCTCTGGGGGACGTCCGTAAAGCAAAGTTTCTCATACGGAGTAAGTGGCCTTGAATAATCTTGCATATGTGGGGAGCTTCGTATAAAGTGATGAAGTTGTCTAAACATCCATGGCGTAAATATTAGGGATGGCCATGTCTTCATAATGTCCTCTCTAGATAAGAACTTCTTATCTTTGAAAAGGTGACATACCGTCAGGTTGTCTGGACAATTATCTCCGGCTAGGAAGGCCCGGGACATACCCGGCAGAAAGTCTGGATTCATTTTGATCGGAGTTAAGGGACCCGGAGAGGAAGAGAGTTCTTTTTTCCGGAACAACTGATGGCAACAGCTTAAGGTAGGACCTATAAGAGGGTGTTCCCGAAACTCCGAAGGAATATGAGAGTTTTCCAGCCAAGGGGAAGGGGCAAGTGGTATCGTTGAGAAATCTGCCTCCAAACCAACCCAAACTTTACGATTGTGGGTCGTGGTCCAATCTACTACCCTTGCTAGGTGACAAGCCCTGTAGTATCGGGCAATATCAGGCAATCCAATACCTCCACTGTTTTTGGGCATGGTGAGTTGGGCAAAGCTAATTCTTGGGCGTTTATTAAACCAAAGAAAGGAGGTACAGAGTGTTTTATAAGATGCGAAGAAAGAAGATGGTAGTTTAATTGGTATTGTTTGCAGTAGATACAATATTCTAGGAAGCACGTTCATCTTGAGAATGGCAGCTCTACCAAACCAAGAGAACCAAGGTTTATTCCAAGTTTGAAGGTCTGTGGAGATATTACGCAAGAGGGGTAAGAAGTTTTTATCGTAAAGTTCCGTTAGGTGAGTTGGTAATTGGATACCCAGGTACGTGATCGCCTTCGACTGCCAGGTAAAAGGAAAATTCGATTTCGCTTGTCTAAACACATCTTGGGTCAAGGAGACATTAAGGGCTTGAGATTTAGAGAAGTTAATTTTGAAGTTAGCCAGATACTGGAACAATTTGAATTCTTGTAGCAGATTAGGTAAAGTGATATGTGGGTCTGTTAGGAAAAGTAATATGTCATCAGCAAAGGCTGCTATTTTATGAATTTTGCCTTTTATCAGAATCCCCTTGATGTTATCATTCTGTTTGATGCAATTCAACAAAGGTTCCAGTGTCAGAATAAATAAGAGGGGGGATAAAGGACATCCTTGTCTAGTCCCCATTACCTATCGAAAAGGAGTTCGAAAGGAGACCATTAACTCGCACTTTAGCTGTGGGAGTGGTATATAGAGACATGATAAACGCCAGGAAACGCGGAGGCAATCCAAGTCCAATCAGAACTGCCTCCATGTAATCCCACGCCAGTCTATCAAATGCCTTCTCTGCATCTAAAGATAGAAAGAAGCCAGAATGTTGTTTTTGAGTTAACCAATGATGAATATTTATGGCCCTTATTGTGTTGTCTCTAGCCTCCCTCCCTGGTACAAAGCCCACCTGGTCTGTTGATACGATGGGATCTATGATGCGTAATAGACGATTGGCCAGGATTTTGGCAAAGATCTTTAGATCAACGTTTAATAGAGAGATCGGACGGTAGTTCGCTGGAGAGGTTTGGTCTTTATTCTCTTTTGGTATGACCGTAATATGAGCCTCAGAGAGATGGCGCATGGACTGCCCTGGTGTATCTAAAGTATTAAAGGCCCGTAGAAATGGTTGTGCTAAGATGTCACTAAAGGACTTATAGTACGAAGTGATAAACCCGTCAGGACCTGGACTTTTACCAGGTTTCAATTGTGCAATGGCTTGTTGTAGCTCCGTCAGGGTCAAGGCGCCATCTAAGTCTTGCGCTTTTGTTCTAGAAATAGGGTTTGCCATGTATCTGGTCAGGAAGGTCTGAATAATAGCCTCACGAGGCCTAGTGTCTCCTGTCGGTTTAGAAGGTATGGGCAAATTGTAGAGAGAGGAATAGTATTGCTCAAATTCAGCTGCAATAATCGCTGATGTTTTCAGTGAGCGACCCTGCTTGGAAGTGAGCTGATAGATTTGCTGAGCTGCCCTTCTAGATTGCAAGGCCCTGGCTAGAAATTTGCCACTCTTGTTTCCATGTTCATAGAAAAGTTTCTGTTGTAGAGTAAAATTACGTTTGGTTTTTTTTTCAACGACATCTTGGAGTTGTTTTCGCGCCTGAACTAGTTCTGTTGCAGATTCCAAGGCTCTAGAGCGTTTATGCGTGCGTTCCAGTACACGGACTTTTTGCAATAAGGCGGTAAAAGATGCTTGAGCTAGGCGTTTTCGTGAAGCGGATATGGACATGAGAAGGCCACGCATTACACATTTGTGCGCCTCCCACTGTACGAGGGGGGTCGTATCTGGAGATGCGTTTTCTTTAAAGTAGTTGATCAAAGAATCACGGATCTGGAGGGTGACGGATGAGTCTGTAAGAAGAAAGGGATCCAATCTCCATGTTTTGGGTGCGGCTGGTACGTCCGGGAATTGTAAAGTCATCATAATTGGGTGATGGTCAGATAGAATCATTGGCTCGATCGAGGCCGATTTCAGTATATGTAAGTCCTTTTGTGAGAGAAAAAAATAGTCTATTCTGGAATGGCGTTTGTGTGGTGCGGAATAAAAGGTGTAGTCTTTGTCCGTAGGGTGAAGGGTGCGCCAGGTATCATGAAGGAGAAGGTCATGAAGTTCAAGTTTAATCTGTTTAAGTGCTTTGAATGGTTTAGAGGAAAAACCAGTTGAAGTGTCTTCCAGCGGATTCAAAGCTACATTAAAATCACCTCCCAGAATCAAAATACCTGATTGAAACGTAGCAAGTAATTTGGAGATTTTACGAAAAAAGCATACTTGTGCAGTATTGGGGCTGTAAATGTTGGCAAAAGTAAGTGGCTTATTAAAAAGGGAACCTTTGAGAAAGAGGTACCTCCCCTCAGGGTCCTCGAGAGACTCAGTAACTTTAAATGGGAGCTGTTTGGTAAGTAAGATGGAAACACCTTTTGCTTTCACCTCCGTGTTGACTGCATGATAAGCCGTTGGGTAATTAGCATTTGAAAATCTAGGTATGTGATCCGTTCGGAAGTGTGTGTTTGTGGCTTTTTGAGGGCTCCAGCACCAAAAAGTGTTGGCATGCCCATTTTAGCCATTCTATAATATTCTGTACTTCAGCTTTCATCTCTTCCTGCATTTTCCCTAGGCTGTAATGAAAATTTTGATCTGACCTGTTTTGGCTATGTTACTGTTTTCCTGTTTGTATAGGCTTTAGCTTCTGATCCTGATGCTTTTATGTTTATATTGTTGCTCCCGGCTACAACTCTGTAGACTCCCGAGTGGCTGCTATGTACTAGTTTTCTGTCTGTCCTTGTCTGTCTGCTGTGTATTAGTACTCTGTTCATGTCT